ACATGTAGCCCGATGTTATTGTCTCGGTGACTTATATTCCGAGCCCGCATTCATGCCCTGCTGCCTCGTTCCTGCTCCTGATCTGCTTAAAACCCAGACCAGAAGCAGCTTCTTGCCGGAGACCAATGTCTCCTTTGGTTTAGCAGGACAGAAGTTCTGGAGATGAATGAACAGGGATCTGTGGCTTGGTGCAGCCGTTCTGAGGCTGCTGGGACACACGAGGGTGCTGTGGGTTGCTCAGTAAATCCCCACCCCCACCCCCCCCCAGTGCTTGGGGAGACCCATGATGGAGGAATATGGTTAATCTGGATGAATTCCCAGATCCCTTCTCCAAGCAGGGATGGCAGGTTAAGAATCAGACGAGGGGGAATAAACTTACTCTCAAGCCCCAGACCTTTACCTTGGTGGAGAAGGAGTCATATTTAGTTAGATACTCCTTGCAGTCTGTAGCCTGGAACTTCTTGAAAGCCTGGAGAGGAGACACTGATGTATTAATGAGGAAATAAAGCACATTCCCAAAGCGCTTCCTTGGATTCTGTTAGGATTTGGTGATCCCTGGAGCTGAGCTAATGGCTCCTATTGCTTGGGCCTCAAGATTGGGGAATTATTGCCTTAATGTAGCTTCTTCTGCTTCAGCCAAGGCTTGGTGAGTGTTCCACAGAAAGGAACATGTATAAAGAGGGGTTTCAATCAGCTGCTCTTGTTTCTGAATGAGCCTTTCTGGCTTCCATGCTAAAGGACCCTACTCTTACCTTGTGCAGTGCTTCTCGGTACAGCTGGCTGGCACTCTTGCCTCTCTCTGATGGCTTCAGCGGGTACTTGAGGATGTTGGGGTTCCTGTTCACTTCCTTAGTCCTTACCCGAATGCCGTTCACCAGGTACCAAGTGTTGTCATCGGTCTGGATGAAGGGGTTTAGCTTCAGGTCAAACTGCCTGATGAACTCCCGGACCAGCCTGGCAGAGAGGAGAGCACATGGGGACAAGTGCTGCAACCAGCCAAGCCCAAAACCCAGCCCCTAAAGCATTAGGAGCATAAAAGGACACTTTCCCCTCAAGTTTGTTGCTGTAGCCATGTATTATGTCAGCTTGTGAGCGGAGATTGTGGCTATTCCAGGCTCTGCCATTGCTCAATGCAGCAGCTACGGGGCTATGGAGAAAGGTGTCTTTTGGCTTATGTTCTCTCCCTACAGCTCCTTGGCATCTGGTGTGGTTGGTGGCTCACCCACAGCCTCTTCCCATAGCATCGTGGATGATGACTGAGCCTTGTTTGACTCCACCTTCTCGCAGAGCCCTCTCTCCATCGGAGCTGGTGGGAATTCATCCATCTCCTGATGTTGTGACTTCCAGACTAGAGGCCTGACCGTGCATGGACGTGCCACTGAGATGAGAGGTCCTTATTCCCCTAACTCAAACTCAGGTGGCTCTGTGCTTTTCACTCCTTTAAAGCTGTGGGGCAGACAGCCCCTTCTTCTTGCTGTCCTACTCCCATACCCAAGCCCTCATCTCAAACCTCAGCCTTGCTCCTCCAAGCAGGCTGGTTCCTCCCCTGACCATGGCTATGAAGCAGGACACCCCCTTACCTGTGCTTGCTCGGCAGGCGCATGGCTCCCAGCTCCACGTACCAGTCCTGGTCCTCAGAGCGGTATGTCCTGATCCGGCCACCAACCCGGCTGCTGGTCTCCAGGACAATGACCTGCAACCAGGGATGGGTGGAGATTGCACACGTTCAGGCGAAGCAGCTATTCTAAGCAAAGCACCTACAAAGCCAGTTCGCAGGCACGGTGACAGGCAGCGTTCGTGGGCCATAGGGTGGGACAGGGCCCCTCCAGATGGCAAATGAATCATCTGTAGACCCAAACCCATCCCTTGTGTTCATTTGGAGACTATCTAAAGGAGTTGCTTGGCGTGAAGCTCCCTTTCATCTCCTCCTGTCCCTGTGCCTCGATCAGATTATATCACTGGAGCCCAATTGCTTTTCCTTCCTTTTCCCACCACTGATGGTCTACTCCCTTCTTCCTCTTCACATTGGAGAACCCTCAGTGCAGGAGAACGAGACCCAAAGGCACTCATGTGTCTCATGCAACCACTGACCCTGTGGCCGGCATCTTGGAGCAGCTTCGCTGCTGTGAGCCCGCTTATCCCTGCACCAACGATGACCACGGTTGCTGGGTGAGTTGCAGGTTCCAGCCCATGTTTGACAATGTCCAGCAGCTCCTCATAGTCCTTGTCGTGAAGACAATACTCAGGGAAGCACGGGAATCTCTTGGCACTCAGGAGACCTGCCAGCAGGAGTATTTGGAAGAGGACTAGGGAGAGAAGAGAAGAGAAGGCACTTGGCAATCAGCATGCAGGTTCATTCCTGACTGCCCAGGAGGGAGGTGACAGCACAGATTGCCTCCAAGTACATTGGTGTCCAAACCCCAAAGAGGAACATCTATCAACCTGATCCAAGTCAGCTGGCATGAGTATTCCCTACGGCATCAGCAGGTCTCGCAAGATGCCAGATGTCAAGTAGTGTCAGGAAATACAATTTTTAAGGAGAAATCAAGCCCATGGATTATTTCTTTCCTTTCCCATCTGCATTCTCTTTGTGGTGAGTTCCCAAAATGAGTTTGATGAATCCAGAAGGAAGGAGGGTAATTAGTGCCACTCACACACAAAAGAATCGAGGCAATCTTGTCCTGATTGCCCTTTCCTGGGCCTTAGGAATCCATGGCAGTTTGGATGCAGTGGGTAGGAGGAGAAGACAACAGAATATTGATAGGTGGACACCACTGCATAGAGAGCTGGGCAGACGAGCCAGATGGTGGTGGGTGATAGGGCTTATCTATTTAAATCAGATAAGACTGCAGCCGATCTGGAGCAACTATTCCTACCCCAACAGACACAGTGTTATCCCAGGGGAAGGAAGTTGGAACAGAAACCTGGGATTTCACTAGTTTTGGCTTCAGTTCTCCACGATAACTACAATAACTTTCATTTTCTTTTCCTTCCCCTGAATGCAGCCGGTTTCCTTCCAAGGAATAAAAGACAATGAGAGAAAAGGTTCTGCAATCGCACCCTGGGTAGTTCTCCGTTCTGGAAAATCCCTTTGGAACGGCTGTTCCTGCTGGAACAGCCCCGGTTCTGCAGCACCTGCAGTGATCAGCCTCAGAACTGTTACCCTGCAGGTGACTGTTGGGAACCAAAGCCCAGCTCCTCAAGCAGGTCCTTCTGCAGCCTCTGGAGCTCCTCCAGCTTCCTGGAGACACTGACCGGGGCTGTAAAAACTAATTAGAAAGCGCCTGCTCTAATTAGGCTGTGACAGAGGGGCCGCCTTCAGAGCATGGCAGAAAGTGATGGTGTGTTGACAAAGCCACATCGACCTTCTCACCCAGTGCTGCTGCTGCCCTGGTGGTCCTCAAGGACCTGGGGTGCTGCTTTGAGTTGTGTTCTTGCCACGTGTGGGGTTCATAGTGGTGCGAAGCCACTGCCCGGGCTCACTGCCCTCATCTAACCCAGCAGAGCAGCCCCAAAGACCTACGGACTATGTGGAAGGTGAAGGAGATCAGGGAAGGGATCCCAAATACATTGGGGCCAGCTTATGGAATGGATGAATCTCCATCTTCCCTTAGACCTTCCTGTGTCGTGGGGAGAAACCATCAACCTGATGTCCTCCAGGAATCTTCTGGTGGTTCTGAGCTTGTGCCTGTTTCCATCTACCCCTGCACGACCAGGAGCATCCCGCACCTCAAACCTTCACGAGAAGCACCCTATTGTCCATAGTGGCTGCCGAGTCAAGCTCCAGGTGACCAGGCAATACCCTGAGCTGGAGGAAGGGAGGTTTGTGGTTATGCTGTCAGGAGGTGACACAAAAGGCAGATATGAAAAACAAATCAAAACCACCCCAAAAAGGGGCATTGAAGATGAAAGAAAAGCAGGAAAAGCCCAATAGGAGAGGTGAAGAGTCGGGGAGAGCCACTCACCGGTCCCAGTCATCCTTCCAGCGGGAAGATCAGTCTTCTGCTGAGATTTGCTTTCATTTTATACACTGGCTTAAAGAAAAAAAAGAGGCAACATAGTTGTGGTGGCTCGGAAGGAAACCTGCCAAGGAGGGGCAGCTATTTGTCATACCAAGGGGAACCAGCAATTGAGCGTAACCAGTTCCTCTGACGGGTTCCTCATCTTTCTTCACTGGTGTTACCGGGTTTGGACATCAGCCACCAAGTCCACGGCACATTTGGGAAGTGTTGTGATCATCGGAACACGTAGAGGTGACCGCACCCTCCCCGTGAAGGGCAGAGAACTTCCCAGCCTCACATGGAGGTTTGGTTCTTTCCTTGTGCTGCGCAAGGTGGGATCTGAGCTCATGTGGTGGGATTCATTCTGCATCCCAGGGAGAGCCCTGAGCTTGCATCCACAACACTCTCCTGGTGGTGGGAATGGGTGTTTCCAGGTGACAGTTCATGTCAGGACACTTTATGGTCAGTTTTGGCTTCATCCATTAGGACTGAGGGGATCAAGGGCTTAGATGCCTTCACTGAGATGGCAAAAACTGGGTGACTTGTAGCAGTATTTTTCCACAATGGAGAGTTTTGACCAACCAAAGCACCATAAACCAACCTAAGGAAGCATCCCTTGGCTGGTTCACCGTGTCTTACCCAGCATATGAACATACTCAACCCTGCATAGGCTGTGTTGCTCCTAAACCCATGTAAACCCACCACAAACTACCCCTTCAAACCATCTTCTCCCTTCTCCTCTTTGCTTTATGCCTGAAGACTGTGTCCTTTACAGTTAATCAGATGATGTACTCGTTTGATGAGGAAATGAAACTCCATCGTGGTGCTTCCCATCAGGGGTGAACTCAGCACCAGGGTAGACACGAGCCCCACAGAAGGGGCTTTCCCTGAAGCCTCAGGAGTCACTGGCTCTTCTCAGTAGTGTTTTCTTCATGAAACAGTCTCCTTCCCTGCAATGCTCTCAGTTCTCCTTGCGTTGGAGCCCAGACCTATGTGCAT